GGCTTAACACTGCCTTCAAAATATCTTCCCCGCGGGCTTAAAACTGCCGCCGAAATATCTTCACCCGCGGAAATAAAACTGCCGCCGAAATATCCTCACCCGCAAGCTTAAAGTTGTCACCGAAATGTCCTCACCCGCTGGCTTAAATTGCCTTCGAAATATCCTCCTGCTGGCTTAACTGCTACCGAAGCAACCTCACCCGCGGAAATAGAAATGCCACCGAAATTCCTCACCTGCTGGCTTAAAACTGCCACGTAAGTATCCTCACACTCTGGCTTAAAGCTGCCACCAACATATCCTCGCCCGCAGGCTTAAAACCGCCACCGAAAGATCCTCACCCGCTGGCTTAAAACTGCCACCGGCATATCCCCACCCGCTGGCTTAAAACTGCCTTCGAAATATCCTCGATAACACCTCGATAGCACTTCGATAACACCTCGATAACATCTCGGGGTGTTATCGAGATGCTAATGACGGCTGGATGCCCGCGCCGAGCACAGCTCGTTTCGGTTTCTCCCTCCCCTTCCTCCTCCCCCCCCGCGGGCTTAAAGCTGCCGCCGCAATATCTTCGCCCGCTGGGCTAACGCTGCCACCGGAATACCCTCACCCGCGGAGATAAAACTGCCACCGAAATGTCCTCGCCTGCTGGCTTAAAACTGCCACCGAAATATCCTCGCCCGTTGGCCTGACACTGCCATCGTCATATGCTCACGCGCGGAAATGAAACTGCCACCGAAATATCTTCACCCGCTGGCTTAAAGCTGCCGCCGAATTGCCCTCACCTGCTGGCTTAGAACTGCCACCAAAATATCCTCACCCGCGGAAGTAAGACTGCCACCGAAAGATCTTCACCCGCCGGCTTACAACTGCCACCGACGTATCCTCACCCGTGGAAATAAAACTGCCACCGACATATCCTCACCCGCTGGCTTAAAACTGCCACCGAAATATCAGCACCCGCTGGCTTCAACTTGCCGCCGAAATAGCCTTGCCCGCTGGCTTAAAACTGCCACCAACATGTCCTCACCCGCTGGCTTAAAACTGCCACCGAAGTATCCTCACCCGATAACTTAAAACTGCCACCGAAATATCCTCACCCGCGGAAATGAACCTGCCACCGAAGTATCCTCACCCGTTGGCTTTAAACTGCAACCGAAGTATCCACGCCCGCTGGCTGAATGCCACCAACATATCTTCACCTGTTGGCTTAAAACTGCCACTGAAATATCCTCACCCACCCACGGAAATAAAATTGTCACCGAAGTGTCCTTACCCGTTGGCTTATAATTGCCACCGAAATATCCTCACGTTCTGGCTTAAAACTGCCGCCGAACTATCCTCACCCTCTGTCTTAAGCTAAAACTGCCACCGAAGTATCCTCGCCCGCTAGCTTAAAACTGCCACCGAAATATCCTCACCCGCTGGCTTAAAACTGCCACCGAAGTATCCTCACCCGCGGAAATAAAACTGCCATCGAACGGCCTGGTGGTTCAGTTCAGTCTGTCTGTCTACCTCGCGAGAATTAGTTTACGGGCTGCGCCCGTGCAAAACGCTGGAAGGGAGGCAGGAATATCGGCGCCCAAAGAAACGCGCTGGAGAAACAAAAAACGAAAACCAAATTTCTACAACTTCAGCCACTCTAAGACCTAACTTCAACAACTCCGAAACCTAACTTCTGCAATTTCAACCGCTTAAAACCGCTTTCAAAACCACCCTCGCGCTAGTTTCACTAATTTCCGCATCTTAAGTTGTGAAGGTTGGCTAGATGTGATACTTAACATGCAGTTGCGTAAGTTTCACTGCAGTTCCGTATGCATCAGCGCCCCTTAAGTTGTAAGGTTCAACCTTATCTATAAATGCATGCACTTATCAGTAAGTGCGCGACTAATATCTATCAGTGCATACTTGTATTTCACTTTATATATAAAGTCAACTTAACGCTTCGTTAAGTACAGCACGTGTATTATATTATATATTATCTTAGATGTAGCTTAGAATCATATTAGATGCATCTTCGATTTATTTTAGAATCACATGTGATTTATAATATATTAACGTTTCAGTATTAATGTTAGGATTCTAATGTTGTTTCATATGTATCTCAGATTTGTGTTACATTCATATCAGACTTATGTTAGATTCATGTTAGAGTCAACTCAGATTTATGTTAGATGCATCTTAGATGTAGGTTCGATGTGTAGTGGATGTGGCCGGATTTGAACTTGAATGACAATAGATAATTATATATATGTTAGATCATATGGTAACGCGACCACATTACACTGTAAGTAAGATATATAGTGGGATCGTTGCACATGTATGTTGGAGTCATTCGGGGCCACGTTGCCCATGTAGCGTTTAGAAGAGCAGGGGAACGTAGTGTGCTGTGCGCGTGCGCAGTTCGACGTAGATGCATGTTACGTTTCAAGTGGACTCCGCTTTGGAGAGGCACCAAAGAGGTCCCAGAGTCCCAGAACGTCAAGAGAGGCCACAGAGAGGTCTTAGAGAGGTCCCCAGAGAGGTCCCAGAGAAATCCAACATAGGCCCCAACAGAGGCCCTAGAGACCCGTAGCAAGTTTGGCTCAAACGATTCAAAGGCGACCCGGCATGTCTCGCAAGCCTCGCGAGTCCCCAAACCCAAACGTGGACCAGGAAACGGCAACAGCCGTTGTTGATGAGTTCAAAGCAGGTCGCGCGTGGTCAGATCTGCTTGGAAGCCTTGCTCACGCGACGCACGCTGTCACTCCAAAGATGGTTTGTTTCCTCGGGCCACTCCTCAATTCGTTCTTGAGTATTGGGTTTAATATCTGTGTCCTTCCAGTCGGGAAAGTTAGTGCCGCAGTTCTCAGGGCGACGAAGAAGGACGAACGGATGCCAACATGTTATTCATTGGAAAGCTGGGTGTCAGATGTTACAGAACGTATCCGTTTGGTGTTTTCTATGTTGAGGCTTCTGAAGATGGAGGACATAGCGGCTACAACAACGCCCAGTGGGCGCCGCCGCTACCCGAAGACTAACAATTTCAGGCGCCAAGCATCAGGAGCATATAACATCATGATTTCAACAATGACCGATCAAGTTTCGTTGGAAGGCTTGGAGGACGTTTCGGACGCTGCTTCCACAGTCTCGATGCCCTTGCGCGACAAGGACAGCGACTGTGCAACCGCAGTCGAGGACATGCAACCAGCCCCGCCACCAGATTCTTGGTCAGCCCTAGCCCCGCCAGCAGATTCTCGTTCAGGCCTTCTATCTCACTTCAAGAAGATGTTTGCTACGCCAACCGTCAAGCTGGACGTGCCGATGAAGGAACCGCCTGCTGTCGACAGCACGGGGAACATGGCAGACGACGAGGGCTTGGGCGCGGACTCCGAGGACCAGATGGCGGCGGCGCGCCAGCCGACAGCTCCTACGACAAGCTCGGCGTGTTCGTTGGCTCTGTCGGGGGCAGCGCGTTCCCCGCCGACAGGACTCAGGCGCGCAGGCAGAGGGTGCTGGAGGCCAGCATGTGAAAATGCAGAGTGTACCCTGTCTCCTATCAGCATTTGCGCCTTCGTTTTACTTAAAGTCATGTTATCATGTGTCTTTGTTCTAATGCCAGGGGCCATTCGTCGCAAGGGGGGCGCTGTCTGCTGATGGGGGGGGGGGGGGCGGGGTCCACCCGAGGCTCGCGGCCAGGCCAACCCGAAGACGAAACAGAAGAAGAGCTCGATGAAGAGCTCACCGCCTACCCCACATGTTACCAAAACCCCGCCGAAGGTGGGGCGGGCCGCAAAGGGCTCGCCAGATTCGGTTTCGAAGCTGAGGGGCCCTCGCAAAGCTGGCCCGGCCTCCGAGACGCCTCCCAGGTGCGAGCTGACCGCCTTCGATGAAAATGGCAAGCGTGCGCGCGTCTTCTCTACCACCAATTCCAAGCTAATCGGGACCATGGGTAAGATTATAGCCGAGATGAAGAAACATCCGATTGCGAAGGCCGATGCGCTTCAGATGCGAGATGCGGCATCGAGCGGTGCCAAGTGAGTTCTTGTGAGCCAGGATTTAGTCTGTTACGCGGTAACACAATGTTTTTCGAGACAGCCATATCGCTTAAGGGGTGTAGCGACGCTAACCGTTGGACCTCTTTCTGCTACTCTTCACAAGACCATGATCCCGATGATTTGTCGTCGGTATGTGATATGTCCATATCCTCCATATCCTCCCCCTCCTCCTGGGTTTGCTAGTGCGCGGGGTTCAGATGGCAATGTTGCTGAGATCGTGCCAAGCAGCGAACTTCCATATAGCATTCGCGCCACATGCAGATCCGCTCGGTGTCAGACTCACTTCAGACTTACATAACATGTCCTATGGATTGCGGTCGGTGTATACAGTATTGTATGTTCTACAGGATTTATATCAACTTTATATTAGATGTATGTAATTTATATATGAGACGTATGGTTCATTTTAGGCTTATTTGAGGTATTCATGGCGCTGCTGTCATGATGCGAGGTCGCATCCAGCCCAGAATTGCGTTTGCATTGAATTCAGATGGCAGCGTTGTTGGGACACGCATAAGCACACGCGCGCACGCACACGCACGCACGCACGCACACACACATGCACACACACGCACACACACACGCGCACACGCGCACACACTCGCACACACGAGCACACACGCACACGCAAGCCACGCACACGCACACACACGCACACACACACACACGCACACACACACGCACGCACGCACGCACGCACACACACACACATTCACACACGCAGACGCACTCACGCGCACAGACGCACGCACATACACTGCCCTTGAGAGGTGTCACTGAATGCTTCGAGGTGGAGGTCGCATTTTGTCATAGCTGTTCTGGAACAAGGTGCAAGATTCCAAGCGCCCTTCAAGGCGAGCTCGCGTGCACTCCCGAACGGCTTCTGGGGTGGAGCTCAGGCGCCCCGCGTCTGCGCTCAAGCGCCCTGCTACCGCGACTGAGGAGGAGGGCGCGCCCGACTGGAGGATGGCGGTCGCTGGTACATCGAAAGCTACCCCCGCCAGGTTCTCGCCCGATACAGAGGAGGGTCAGCGAGTCGAGGAAGGGGCCCCCGTCCAGAGGCAGACTAGCTTGGCCCAGCGCCACGTCTTCAAGATGTCCCGCGAGTCGATCCCGCTCGACCTCGTCAATCGCTTCGACCACCTGAAGAGCAAGGAGTGCAAGATCCCAGGCAAGGAGCGCATGGCCAACGAGATAATCAACGCAGTCGTTCCCAGGGACGCGGGCTACGGCAGCTCGATCAAGCCCGGCGAGATGACGCTGGGCAGGGTCGTGACGCGCGAGAAGGTTGACAAGGGTACTGTCGATTAAATTGCGCCTCCACAGCCCCGCGCTGCCATGCTTTAAGTAGCGCTGGTTGTGCTTCGGAGGCTTAGCCTTTCCCATTGCGCTTCGATCGGCGCCGAAACCATTGGGCGCCTTTTGTTTTTCAGGAAGTAGATGCGACGAGGAGGGCGATGAGGGGCAGGGTGGGTGGTGGTGGTGGTGGCGGTGGCGGTGGCGGCGGTGGTGGTGGCGGGCGGGGTGGGTGGGCGGGGCGGGGTGGGGTGCGTGTGTGTGTGTGTGTGTGTGTGTGTGTGTGTGTGTGTGTGTGTGTGTGTGTGGTGTGTGTGTGTGTGTGTGTGGGTGGGGGGGGGGGAGGAGGAGGAGGAGGAGGAGGAGGAGAGGAGGAGGAGGAGGAGGAGGAGGAGGAGGAGGGGGGGGGGGGGAATAGTAGGAGGAGGAATAGTCGGAGGAGGAGGAGGAGAAGGAGGAGGAGCAAGAGGAGGAGGAGGAGGAGGAGGAGGGAGAGGAGGAGGAGGGAATGCATGTTGATTCCCTCGCGAGGACAGCACCTCGGTCACTTCCCTTTCGAAGCGGATCATGGTCAACACTATATTCAATGGAAATTCGTCCGAGTTTGAGGCTGCGCAACAGGATGGTGAGGCATGGTCAGACCCAGGCGAGCCAGGCAAGTGCGCGTGCGATGATACTGTTGCCAGGAAGACGTCCAAGGTGACCTCGAACAAGTGGGTCGCGAAGGAGACGTTCAACCCGAAGGGTGCCAAGCTGTTCCGAGGAGGCACGGACGACGTCATGCTCGAGGAGCTGGAGCCCCCGACCTGGAAGCCAATGAGGACCGAGAACAAAAGCGCTCGCAAGGCGCTCCACGACGCGAGGAACGACGACGCCATGGCCACCGTCACGCTAGCGCTCAAGCGCATGGGGCCCGAGGTGACGAGCTACGCCAAAGCTGACGTTTCCAGGAAGCTCGCCAAGGATACGATGGAGTTGCTGAAGAAGGCTGCTGCTCCTGGGGAGAAGGTCGCTGAGTACCTCGTGGCGCCGATTGGCGAGGTCACCAAACTCCAGGCGGAGGAGGCGTTGATTGCGGCAGGGAACTGCTACGAGGATCTCATGGCAATGCACTCCCAGTGCGCCAACCTGATCAAAACGGAGAAGAGGCAGTCCAACCAGGGCGGTGGAGGCTCCAGCGGCTCCAAGCTCGCTAAGATGAGCCCGGGGAAGTGAGCGCGTTCCGAAGTTTGCCAGCGCTGCAGCCTGTTAGCAGTACTAGGTAGAATGAAAACTACTAGACTGAGGGTCATGAGGAGGACGAGGGCCCCCACGCTAGTAGTAAGGGGTAGAATGATAGTAGTAATAGTCGTCGTCGTCGTTTGGAAAAAAACCGTCGGCGGTTTTTTTCGAAACGACGACGACGACGACGCCGACGACGAGGGCGACGACGACGCGCCGACGACGACAACGACGCCGACGACGACGGCGAGGGCGACGACGACGACGACGACGACGACGACGGCGGCGGGGAACAATTGGGGGCTCCGAGCCTGATTTCCCCAAGTTTGCCCTCCCCATCCTGAGGGTGAGAAGGGGGGGGTCTGGAACTCTCTGGAGATGACGCCCCCGGGCGATCCTTCTGGACATCTTAGAATTGTTGTAAATTTACAGTAGATCAGTATTAGAATTATATTAGACAATTAATATATTCATATTATTATTTATATATCAGATGCATAATAGACTTAAATTAGATGTATCATATATTTTTGTCTAAGATAAATCTAAGGTAAATCTAAGACAAATCTACGATAAATCTGAATAAATAAATATAAGATAAATATAAGATGAATATAAATATAAATATAAATATGATGAATCTAATATGAATCTAATATGATCTAACATAAATCTAACATACCTTTCATATATCAGTATTACACATGTCTTAGCATGATAAACGTAATTCGTGTATGAAGTGATTTTAAGATAAACCTAAAATACATCTCACTAACTAGGAGATTCGAGTGCCCACCCACCTTCGCCCCCCGGCAAAATCGATGCTCGGAGTGCATACATTTCCTTTTCGGGGGTTAGCCTCGCTAGCTTCGACCAAGCACACATGATATACAAGGGCTACACACATGCAGCCATGAAGATGTTCCAGGCAGTTTCAACTGATTCCACGAAGGAGTCTCTCAACGCATCTGGGTAGTGCGCGCTGCGAGCAGCATAAGCAGCGCTGTGCGCGAACGGCGCGCCCTCTCTCTCTATCCTTCTCCTTTTCTCTCTCTTTTTTTTTTTTTTTTTTTTTTTTTTTTTTTTTTTTTTTTTTTTGTCTCTCTCTCTCTCTCTCTCTCTCTCTCTCTCTCTCTCTCTCTCTCTCTCTCTCTCTCTCTCTCTCTCTCTCTCTCTCTCTTCTCTCTCTTCTCTCTCTCTCTCTCTCTCTCTCCCTCTCTCTCTCTCTCTCTCTCTCTCTCTCTCTTCTCTCTTTCTCTCTCTTTCTCTCTTCTCTCTCTCTCTCTCTCTCTCTCTCTCTCTCTTCTCTCTCTCTCTCTCTCTCTCTCTCTCTCTCTTCTCTCTCTCTCTCTCTCTCTCTCTCTCTCTCTCTCTCGCTCTCTCTCTCTCTCTCTCTCTCTCTCTCTCTCTCTCTCTCTCTCTCTCTCTCTCTCTCTCTCTCTCTCTCTCTCTCTCTCTCTCTCTCTCTCTCTCTCTCTCTCTCTTTTTTTTTGTTTTTTATATCCCCTTTATTCCCCTCCTCTCTTTCTCTCTCTGTCCATCTCTCTCTCTCTCTCTCTCTCTCTCTCTCTCTCTCTCTCTCTCTCTCTCTCTCTCTCTCTCTCTCTCTCCCTCTATATATATATATATACATATATATATATCTCCCTCCCCCTCTCTGTCACTCTGGCTAAGTGGCGCGCTCGGCTGGCGCGTCGAGGGGGCCCGCCCGCGCCCATGGCGCGGGAGAAATGCAATCGCCGCCTTCCTGCACCAATGTTTCATATCGGATGGCCAATTCACGTCGGATTCGTTCCCTGGACCGCTCCTTCAGCGCATTCCGACCAGGATTCCGAGTCAAGTCCAGCCGTGGCGATGAGGCACCGCCCCCGCCCCACCCCACCCCGTCTTCCTCATCCTCCTCCTGTAAGCATTTCGGATGCAACGAAAAGCGTTGCTCCCTCCGCCCCAGCGCCCAAACCATAAACATCCAAGAATCGCCCCAGCGCCCAAACCAGAAACACCAGCCAATAACCACCCCAGCGCCAAAACAAGAAACAGCCACCAACAGCCACCCCAGCGCCACAGCCATAAACATACACCAACAACCACCCCGGCGCCAAAACCAGAAACAACCATCAACAACTACCCCGGCACCAAAACCAGAAACAGCCATCAACAGACACCCCAGCGCCAACGCCATAAACGTGCACCAGCCGCCGCCCCAACGCCAAAACCAGAAAACGGCCAGCGACAGCCGCCCCAGCGCCGCAACCACAAAAACAGCCACCAAGAACCACCCCAGCTCCAAAGGCGCAAGCATACACCAACACCCATCGCAGCGCCAAAACCAGAAATAGCCACCAACAACCACCCCAGCGCCGAAACCAGAAACAGCCACCAACAGCCACCCCAGCGCCAACGCCATCACCATGCACCGACAGGCACCCCAGCGCCACAACCAGAAATAGCCACCAACAACCACCCCAGCGCCAAAACCAGAAACAGCCACCAACAGCCACCCCAGCGCCAACGCCATAAACATACACCAACAGCCACCCCAGCGCCAAAACCAGAAGCGACCACCACCAACCACCCCAGCGCCAACATCAGACACAGCCGCCAAACAGCAACCCCAGCGCCACACCATAAACGCACCAACGACACCCCAGGGCCAAAACACGAACACGCGGAGGAGGAGGGGGAGGAAAGAGGTGGGGGCAGGATGATGAGGAACGGGAGCGATAATAACGCAAGGTGCACGATAGGGCACGTTACTTCAGCCTCTGTGCAGTGACATCAGTCGGTTCTGATCGGGGGCAGGGCGGCAAGGGAGCGATACGGCATGGTACTTTACTTCCCCTTTGCAGTGGCGTCAGTCAGTTCTGATCGGGAGCATGGGGAGCACGCTACTTCACAACCCCCTGGCAGTAACATCAGTCAGCTCTGATAGGCAGGAAGAGGAGGAGGAGGAGGAGGAGGGGCAGGATGAGGGGGGGGGGGGCAGGCGGAGCCTTTTCAAACAACAACAACAGCAACAACAGCAACACCACCAACAACAACAACAATACCGATGTGAATAACGGCACTTGCATCGCAGTGGCGCAAAGAAGGTAGCAGTTGCAAGTGCCTTACGAAGCTGCAAGCTGTAAGTTCAACATGTTGCCACGACTCCCCTTTTCGTCAATTCCGCGGCCAGTTTATCCTCAAGGAGGGAGGCTCAAAAATGGCAGGGCGGCAGCAGAAACGCGCCCGACTGCAGGAGGTCGACGAGTTTGCTGCCGGCGAGCGCGCGGGCTATCCCAATCCCGAAACGCACAGTTTCATTTGTTCCCATTTCTCTTCATCCCTTCTCTGCCCTCCCCCCTCCTTCCTTTCTTCTGATCGCCCCCCTTGCGCCCTCTGCCCCTTCCCCTGTCCGAAGGCAGACGGGCGCGCTTCGACGGCGAAGAAGGTTTGTCTTTGCTTCTGGGGTGGGCTATCGGCAGAGGCTTCTTCGCAATCAGGGCTATCAGAGGATGGGGCGTCGAAGACGTTGACAACGCTTGCTTCTCTAGGATGCTCTGGCGAACACAAGGGGAGTTGCAGGCGAGACCTGGGGGCGCGGCTGGGGGGGCATGACTTGCAGCGCGCGCGCCTACGTCCAGTCGAAGTCAAGGACTGCCGCGCCAAGGCGCGGGAAGCTGCCATAACTGAAGCGGATCTGCCATTTCTTTTGCCGCGTGAAATATTTGCTCGGATGCGCGAGTCAAGGCCTGAGATGTTTGTCGAGACGTTCTTGGGGCCAGGTGGAGACGCATCTGCCTTGGCTGATTGTTGGGGGAATGTTGAAATTAGGGCAGATCCCAGACTGCGTGACCACCCAACGAAACATATACCTGGATGGAAGGAAAAAACAATACCTACCATGTTACATGGGGGCGCACTTCCAGTTGTGGCATGCGGGAGGGCGACGTCAGAGTCATTGGATAACGTAGCCTGGTCATCATTGGTTGCAAAAGGCAAGGTTTCCAAGCAGAAGAAATTGATTTTCAGCATATTCGAGGGTTGCAAGACTGGGTGGACGATGAACATTGCGTGGTCGATCATCATGCGGTCCTTTCAGTGTCTGTATAGGGGGTGCTTCCCCACACGAGATCACCGCAACGTTGAATTTCCAGAAGGTTCGAGTGAAGCCTATTTTGGCTCTCGCCATGCGCGGCTAGCTGGCGATTTCTTCTGCGCGATCCAGAGCATCAAAGGCGATCTTGATTGGTATGCGAAAGCGCTCAAACTAAACAACTACAACGCCGATCGCCCGTGCGAGTACGACGACTGCCACAGGCGCGGCACGGAAGGGATGCATCCCATGAATTTCGGCGCCAGCTGCACTTGGAAGAAACATATGTGCAGTGGACAGCGGTGGCGACGACGCAGGGCGGATCGCTTGCACCCAGAATTCCAAGCGTTTCGATTTCTTTCGGCTTTGGGCCTGGAGGCGGATGAGCTGCACGTGCTCTGGCTCGGTGTCGCTGCGTACTTTTTGGGTTCCGCTCTCTGGCTTCTCGTGTTTCGCGTGTTGTCAGGAAGCCACGCGGACAACATGTTCGACGTGTGGTCAGCAATCCAAGTCGAGGGCGGCTGCACTTACGGTAACATTACTGTCAATCTGTTCGTAGATACAAAGAATTTGAACAAGGAATACCCTAAACTCAAAGGGCGTGGGCACCAAGTGAAGAGTTTAGTGGATCCGCTGATGACCGTGTGGCATAAAATGGCTGGCGTCGACTCTCTGTATGGCCCTGTGATGAACGCGCTGGAATCATTGAGTCACATGAAAGATTTAGTTGGCAGTTCTGCGCGCGAAATGTTCATGCCGCCCGCTGACGTCGTGGTCATCCGTACTTGCGTTGACAGGTTTCTCGGGTTCTATACGCAATGTGGGTTGATTGCGGATGGAGAGGAGTTGATGCTTTTCACGGCATGCCCGAAGCTTCACTTGCTATGGCACTGGGCAGATCGATCCAGCATGCTCC